CTGTGAACGTCAACTCTGAGATCGTCAACTCTGAGATTGTCAACTTTGAGATCGTCAACTCTGAGATCGTCAACTCTGTGAACGTCAACTCTGAGATTGTCAACTCTGAGATTGTCAACTTTGATATCGTCAACTCTGAGATTGTCAACTCTGTGAACGTCAACTCTGAGATCGTCAACTCTGAGATTGTCAACTTTGAGATCGTCAACTCTGTGAATGTCAACTCTGAGATCGCCAACTCTGAGATTGTCAACTCTGAGATCGTCAACTTTGAGATCGTCAACTCTGAGATTGTCAACTCTGTGAACGTCAACTCTGAGATCGTCAACTCTGTGAATGTCAACTCTGAGATCGCCAACTCTGAGATCGTCAACTCTGAGATCGTCAACTTTGAGATCGTCAACTCTGAGATCGTCAACTCTGTGAATGTCAACTCTGAGATCGTCAACTCTGAGATCGTCAACTCTGAGATCGTCAACTCTGTGAATGTCAACTCTGTGAACGTCAACTCTGAGATTGTCAACTCTGAGATCGTCAACTCTGAGATCGTCAACTCTGTGAACGTCAACTCTGAGATCGTCAACTCTGTGATCGCCAACTCTCTTACTATCAACTCTGTGATCGCCAACTCTCTTACCGTCAACTCTGAGATCATCAACTCTCTTACATTTAACTCTGTTACTGTCAACTCTGAGATTGTCAACTCTGAGATCGTCAACTCTGTGAACGTCAACTCTGTGAACGTCAACTCTGTGAACGTCAACTCTGTGAACGTCAACTCTGTGAACGTCAACTCTGAGATCGTCAACTCTGTGGACGTCAACTCTGTGAACGTCAACTCTGTGAACGTCAACTCTGTGAACGTCAACTCTGAGATCGTCAACTCTGAGATTGTCAACTTTGAGATCGTCAACTCTGAGATCGTCAACTCTGTGAACGTCAACTCTGAGATTGTCAACTCTGAGATTGTTTACTTTGATATCGTCAACTCTGAGATTGTCAACTCTGTGAACGTCAACTCTGAGATCGTCAACTCTGAGATTGTCAACTTTGAGATCGTCAACTCTGTGAATGTCAACTCTGAGATCGCCAACTCTGAGATTGTCAACTCTGTGAACGTCAACTCTGAGATCGTCAACTCTGTGAATGTCAACTCTGAGATCGCCAACTCTGAGATCGTCAACTCTGAGATCGTCAACTTTGAGATCGTCAACTCTGTGAATGTCAACTCTGAGATCGTCAACTCTGAGATCGTCAACTCTGTGAACGTCAACTCTGAGATTGTCAACTCTGAGATCGTCAACTCTGAGATTGTCAACTCTGAGATCGTCAACTCTGAGATCGTCAACTCTGTGAACGTCAACTCTGAGATCGTCAACTCTGAGATCGTCAACTCTGTGAATGTCAACTCTGAGATCGTCAACTCTGAGATCGTCAACTCTGTGAACGTCAACTCTGAGATCGTCAACTCTGTGAACGTCAATTCTGTGAACATCAACTCAGTAAACGTTGACTCTGTGATCGTCAACTCAGTTATCATCAAGTCTGTGAACTTCAACTCTGTGATCCACAATTTTGTGATCAACTTTTTACGATTAAAACAGTTAAACAACAAGTAACAGCACAAACCGCACAGACTCATGGGAAGACCATACTGACCTTACAGCAGCGTGAGTCCCAGGCTCTGACCTCTGGACTGAAGCCTCCACACAGAAACACATCAGGCTCAGACGGTCGAGGAGCCACACAGCAGACCTTAAACCCGTTCTCCATCCGCACAAGCACCTGACCTGAGAAAACACACACATATACAGTGCAGAAAAAGAGGAAACTACACCAAATATAAGACAACACTTAAAGGTCCTGTAAAATTATGATAAAGTTCAGATCATTTGATGCTGTCAGTCAGTTTAATCAATAATATGAGCATTTAAATACAAGTGAATCGTCAATGAGCTGATTCACACTGAGCTGGAACAACTCTGAATAATGACTCAAGTGTTTTTAAACAACATATACTCTGAATAATCGATCAATTTTGTATCACTGATCCCCTGATTACTGTGAAATGGTCTGTACTGTCTGAAGAGCTTACAGGAATAAATCTGTCAGCTGATTAGTGCTCAAATACAGCCTGATGTTCCTTCAGTTCTGTGCGGATTCACTCAGAGGTATCAAAGCGGCTGGGATAACGAATTACTCCATTAACTACTGATTAATTAACCCGTCCACCATGACAGGATGCATATGATGATATACTCTCGCATGCATATTAATGAACTGATTTGCATATGAGCAGTGGTTTTTCTCTGAACGGTGAGAATGTGTCTGATGTTTGCAAAGCTGATAGGAATCATCCTCCTGCATAATTAATATGCTTCCTCAGTGTTTTTTTAATTAAGAAATGTAATGAGCACAGCGCTGACGGCTGATAAGAAACAGATATGCAGCAAACACACGTCAGCAGAGTTGCAGAGCGACTCTATAATGAATCAACAGATGGAGATCAGGATCATCCGTCAGCAGGAGTGAGCTTAAACGTGATATATTAATAGTAGTATACTTAGTTACAATGCATGACCTTACTTTTTATTCTGTAGTAATAAAAAACTTAAACCTGAAATAACAAGCCATTGTCTTGACCAAGATGATCTGCTGCAGGTCAGAGCGAGCATCAGAATGGGGAAGAAAGGGGATTTAAGAGACTCTGAACGTGGCATGGTTGATGGTTGCTGCTGCCAGACGGGCTGCTCTGAGTATTTCAGAAACTGCTGATCTACTGGGATTTTCACGCACAACCATCTCTAGGGTTTACAGAGAAAAAGAGGAAATATCCAGTGAGCGGCAGTTCTGTGGGCGCAAATGCCTTGTTGATGAGGCCAGAGGTCAGAGGAGAATGGCCAGACTGGTTCCAGCTGATAGAAAGGCAACAGTAACTTACGACTTAACAGTAACAGACGACTCGTGCATCAACAGCAGCAACACCACAAACCTTCATCATTAAAACAGCACCACCCTTATGAAGATGCTAATAACATTACAGACCCAAACAAGTGTTGCTAAACCACCCAGCAGAGTCTCATGTCATCATTAAAGCCGTGCCTTACGAGAAAAATAAACCTCAAAGACAGACGAAAGACATGACAGACGACACCGTCTCAATGAACACTTGAAGCTTGCTGTAATCTACAGGCTGCATTAATAAGGGCATTAGTTATGACATTGATTTCTGTTGTCAAGCTTATCTTTGCTTTTAATATTAGGATATTTGTTTTGAAAAATCTGCAATCAACGGTAAAATAACCTTTATATATTTACAGGACATAATCACTGAGGAGAAATCAGAGGCTCAACACATGATCTTCATGACAAATGCAGCAAATATAGAAGACATTTACAACCGTTATGACAATCAATAGATCATCAAGTAATCGACAGCATCACTAAATAAAGTATATTAAAGGATATTTCACCCTAAATTCACTATACTCACCGTTAAAAGCAGAGTTCATCCACAACTGAACACTCTGTCACCATTAACTCACTGTTCACTTGTTCCAAACCGGTTTTGTTCTTCTGTTGTTAATATCCAATAACTTGTAGGTGCTGTCTTTGATTGTTGAAAACTTGAACAGTAAATGCTGAATTAAGATTGCTCTTTTGCTGATTATTTCATTATATTGTCAGGCAGATAAAACATCTCACTAAATGTGTTAAATCAGCTGCACAGAGAGATGTGCATGCTGACAATCTAATAAAATTGATGGAGATAAAGATTTGACATTTATGGTGATAATTATCGATATCGTTTTTTACCATATAACCCAGCTCTACACTGAATTTACACAAGCCGATTTCTGAACTGAAGATGGATTTTGAATATTAAACTTTGTATGTGTCAGCAGAACTTAACATTTTGGTAATGTAATTCTGAAAAGGGTGGCGATGCAGTGGTGCAGTGGGTAGCACGTTCGCCTCACAGCAAGAAGGTCGCTGGTTCGAACCTCGGCTCAGTTCTGTGTGGAGTTTGCATGTTCTCCCTGCCTCCGCGTGGGTTTCCTCCGGGTGCTCCGGTTTCCCCCACAGTCCAAACACATGCAGTACAGGTGAATTGGGTAGGCTAAATTGTCTGTAGTGTATGAGTGTGTGTGTGTGTGTGTGTGTGTATGTGTGTGGATCTTTCCCAGAGATGGGT